AGGCCCAGTTTTACCATACTCTGTTAGTTATTCTCTAAATGAGACATTACTTAACCAGTCATTAAAGTTAACAGGAGTGCTAACAGCACTGTTAAATTTTTGTGTCCCATGGTATTATTTTAACAGACCATTACGAAATCATACATTAAGTGAATGGAGTCTCAAATCATTCACTCACTTTCTAAACCGACCAAAACAAAATGTCATTGTATGTAATAGAATTGCTTCGAAAACCAGCACTATTCTCTTCAGTCGTATAATGTTTTTGTGACATGTAAGGCGACTGATTTAAATACCACGTATTTTGTAGAATTCATCAGAAATCGGGTTGCATTTCATTTTGCTGGTTGAATAAATGTCAAAACATTTGTTTTTTGTGTGACTGTGTCTGTGAGTTTGAGCAAGATTGTCTTCAATGGATTCCAACACATCCAAAACAGATTCTTTCGAAAGTCGAAATCTTCCGCGACATATTCTTCGAATAATGACGCCGTGCTTTTAAATATTTTGAGTCGTCGTACTATACAGTCTGTTTGGGATAGGGCTAGCGATCATTTAAGGCGATGTTGTGATGCCAATTTTATCAAAATGTCCCCATATGTGGGCCCAACCATGTGACTACATAAAATTTGTTTGTATTTCTTATGTGCCCGTCTTACAGATTAAATAATAATTTGCATTTGTAAGCTAATAATATGTGTCATTAAAAATGAAAAATAATGACCAAAAAACTAAAAATAAAAATAATGAATTTTAGTTTTTGTCAAAAAATTCAGTTTTGACGGGCACATAAGAAATAAATAACATATTTGTGTAGAGTCACATAAAAATCTTCCTTAACATAATAACATCGCCTTAAATTATCACTAGCCCTATCCCAAACACACTATACAGTCCAAATTGTCTAAAACTTCCAAAGGATCCTCGTTTTCGAAAATAAAATTGTACGCCATCGCGATCCTGTTCCTGATTCTGATCTGTGACAGTAAACTAACAGCCTGTTACCCATCTAACGGACCTAATGAGCAGCAATTAAGTTTAACAACGGATTACGGATATTAAACATTCGTTAAAACATGGTGGGACATTCAATAACCTTAACAGTCTGTTAAATGATTTAACAGGGGTGTTAATTAGTTAACATTGTATGGTGAAACTGGGTCTTAGTCTTTTTGCGTTTACATGTGTCACAAACCCACTTAGCTTTTCTTTCATTGTCCATTAAATGATACAGTTTTTCTTTGTTGGTACACTTAAGATCATACGTCAAATTACAGTTCGAACATTTGAGATGTTGTCTCCGTTTGATAGCTTTGTGGCACTGCGCACAAGAAATAATTTCTGTCTTCGGTGTACTCATTGTGTTTATTTACTTCCAATGCCCAAAACACAAAATACAAAATTTCATGCGGTGTGTGGATTCGAACCGGGTTCCCCGAGCGATCGCTTTCAAGTCTGACACTCGCACCACTAGGCCAGCGTAGCTTTAATTTTGTTGACGAATAGGTTGGGTTCCAGTGCAATGTCGTATTATTATGAAGGTAAGGTGGAGGTAGTGTATGTTATTTCTATTATAGTAACACCTTCACTCTTTAATTGTCACAACCACAACATCAAAACACATTATAATTCATTTCACTGTTATTGTCAATATGTTAGGATTTTATCAAAATTGTTTTCTTGCTTGTTTAAACCACAATAACACATTATAAAGTCTGTTTGTTTACTGTTTCCAAAGAAGTCCAAACGTTTTCTTCATTCACATATAATTTCTTTCATTGCAGTTCGTTTCTTGAGATAACATTGTCACTGATTTATAATATGAACTTCAGATTGTACACATTTCACCACAAAACACTTGTTTTTTACATTGTTTTTTGTATAAATACGCGGAGCTATTGTTTACGTGCGAGCAGCGCCCTCTAGTCTCCAATGCTAAATTTTGAAATTGATATATTAATACTCACGGAATGTAGACTAGACTTAAATAAAAATATACCATCCATCGACAACTATACTTCTTATCAAACAACTAAACTCTTAAATCAAAATGACGGTGTTGTTGCTTATATTAAAACCAACCACAGGGCAAAGGTTACTGACTTACACCTTTCAGATGCCACTGGGCTCCAGATATTGATAGATAACTATGTCTTCCTGGGTATTTACCGTTCTCCCTCTTTCTTAAATGCTGATAATTTTACTGGCTCACTTAACACACACTTAGAAACTATTAGCCATTATAAAAATATATCTATCGTTGGTGACATTAATATCAACCTGCTCCCAACTGACAAAGAAAAGCCTCAATATCGTCGTAATAGGCTTAGTTACTTAGACGTACTGTCTCTGCATGGTATCTTACCTGGGCACAATCTATCTACGAGGAAGGGTTCATGTCTGGATCATATTATGTTGAAACTGGATGTCCAAGCTCATACTGCTTTCGTAGCTGTCGTTAACACTACAATTACCGACCACAACACGGTGTTACTTAGTTTATCTAACCCTACTGCTTGTAAACCTTTAACTAGATCTAAATTATTTACCGATTTTCATGGAACCTTAAAAACCCTTACATCCGCCGATAATACCTATTTAGAAACGTGTACTGATCCTGAGGATTATGCTGACTCACTTATTGGCATGATTATGTCTGCAATAAAAGCGAACTCTAAGCAGATTTACTTTTCAAATAATAAAAGGACATTAAAGCCCTGGATAACTGCTGGCGCACTGAGATGCATTCAACTCAGAAATAAAATGCAACTGAAGCTTGAAAAAGACCCCCACAATATTATTTTAAAAATCACCTATAAACGTTTTCGTAATTATTGTTCAAATTTGATAAAAAAAACTAAAGCGACTATACCATAGAGATTTAATTAACAAAACTACTCATAACCCACGTAAATTTTGGAAAACGGTCAACGAAATCACTAAATATAAAGCGCCAAAAACTAATAATGTAGCCCTATTAGAAACAAAAACTGCTCGTGCTTTGGCATTCAGCGCCTTGTGCTTATGGACGAGCTGATTGAAGTTTATAACCCTGGTTCAGTCCCGTGCTCCATACAGGATCTCCTTCTAAATGTTTCAAGTTATATTCCTATGTTTAAATTCATCAGCAATACGGTTGGGCAAATCTAATTCTGTTAATTGTAAATATGTAAATGTATATACCTATTTAAACACTGTTCCTACAATCTTTGTTGTGTTTGTAAATATTGTAAATAGCTTTCTTTCTGCCAGTTAAACACGTGTTTTGACTTGACTTGCTTTGATGCACTTTGTTGTGTTTTGAATTGACTGAACGGATTTTGAACTGACTGACGTTTTTAACGTCTACTTTGACTGACAACTGCTTGCTAAATTAATGGACTTGGAAATGAAATCCATGATCCTTTTTGGAAAACTATGGAAATTGGACATGAAGAAATATTTGAAACAAATGAACATTAACGAATTAACCTGGATATTACGAAATCAAACTACTGAAGACATACAACATNATAATAAATTGGTTAGTTTTCTTGATAAATTTAAAATTCTATCTAACTCACAATATGGTTTTAGGAAGGGTCTCTCGACGCAAGATGCCATTTTAGATCTTACTTCAGTAATAGTCAAAGAGGTTGACGGAGGCAACAAATGTCTTACAGTCTTTTTGGATCTTAAAAAGGCTTTTGACACCGTTTCTGTGCCTATTCTTGTGCGCAGGCTTGAGGATATAGGAATAAGAGGCACTCCACTCCTACTATTTAAAAGTTACCTGGAGGACAGAACCCAGGAAGTAAAAATTGACGGCTTCATCAGTGAAAAAGCAACAGTCAACTTCGGAGTCCCGCAGGGAAGTGTCCTCGGCCCAACACTCTTTTTAATATATATAAACGAGTTATGTAATCTCCGGGATGTTGGGGGGAGGATTTTCTCCTATGCGGATGATACTGCTGTGGTGTTTACTGGCAACACTTGGAATGAAGTTCTTGTACGGACTGAGAGGGGCTTGAATATCATATTCAACTGGCTCAGAGATAACCTCCTAACATTAAACATCCAGAAAACTAATTATATTTGCTTTACTCCATCTAACAAATCACAACCTAACAGTAATTTTCAAATAAAAATTCACAATTGTCGAAACCCTGGTAACTTGAACTGTACTTGTCCCCCTATAGATAAAGTCAATCAAACCAAATATCTGGGTGTTATACTTGACCAGCGACTCAGTTGGTACCCACACATGGAGCTCTTAATCAATAGAACCAGAAAGCTCACTTGGGTCTTTAAGTCTCTGAGACAGGTCATGACAAATAAATTAAACAACAAAATCTACATAGCCCTAGCTCAGTCAGTACTTACATATTGTATCCCAATCTGGGGTGGTGCAGGCAAAACCCACGCTCTTGAATTAGAAAGAGCTCAGAGATCCCTCATCAAGGTCATGTATTCTAAACCTTACCGTTTTCCTACGGATAAATTATATCAAATTAGCGGTCTACTTACAATTAGGAAACTTTATATTTTGAACCTTGTACTGAAATGCCATAAATCTTTAACTCATGTCGACCTTACCCACAAGAGAAGGAAAGATGCTGTTGCGCCTGCCCCCACAATACGTACAGTTTTTGCCACAAGGCAATATTTGAGCCAGTCTGCCTTTGTTTACAATAAAATTAATAAATTACTGAATATTTACCCAATGATAACTCATACTTGCAAGGAAACCTTAACTAAATGGTTATATTCACTTAATTATGAGGAGGTTGAAAACCTACTAGTACGAATTATTTAAACAAATTTCACCACTAAAACCTGACTGTAAAACTCACCATCGTACCTACGCGCTTTCCGCCACTACCTACCGCAATCGCGGGAGTATTTTGTACACAAAATTACCAGATTATTTACTCCCTACATTAAAAAAAACACATTCCTTTAAGTTTAGAACTAGGTACCTACTCACCGATGCGACTTCAGATGCGTTTCCACGTGCCCTCCCGTAACAGTAAATCATGTTTACGTACTCACGAGCACTGTACGTATGGTTTGGCATCTTCATAACACTCACTCACTATTATTACACTCACTATCACACTTTCACACACTAAATACTCAAAACCGCACGAGAAAACAATAAAAAATCGCAAATACGAAATACGTCCATCGAATGTCGTCGTGAATCGGTAGTTATCGTTATTCTTCATTTTCAACTACTTTACGTAATTTTTAACATCAGAAAAGTTTAATTTCGTCAGTTTAGTACAGGAAGTCTATCAACGAATGAGAATGTAAAAGCGGCGGAAAAAATACTTTGTTTAATCTTTGTGAACTAAAGATCCGTCCTATCATTAATGCTCTTAAAGCAAGCTTCCAAAACACTCAAATGCAAATGATTTGTAGATGTTCAATCGTTATTATTAAAACGATAAGAATAGCAATAAATTTTGGTAGTTATTTCGTGTAATGAAATTACATTCATTTAAAATAATCCCGAACATGATGATGAATTATTTTATGTAAGTTATGAAGAATGGAAGTCTAACCTGAACCTAACTAACATTCGTTCAGGGTATTTAAATTAAACGCCGATAGAAATGAAATTACGTTATTACGATGGAGATAGTTAGTTTGGTAAGTCACGTGTTAAATGTCAAGAGTGGAAAGTAAACATAGGATTCATGTTATTTATTTACGTGCAAAATGTAAGTAAGTAAATCATAAAAGTGGAACGCCGAGCTATTTCCAAAACCCGTCCAATATTATAATACAATTTGGCTGCGACAACTACAATACAGAACATCTCCCAAATCTATGTGCATAAAATAATATAATACAATACTAGTAAGTAAGAGGTTATGATAAAAATATTGCTATCAATAAGTTTATAGAATTGGTCCGCCAGGAATAATTGTTCTTACATAAAGATTTGTGTCATTTAGAACCTAGAAAGTATTATTTCGGCACTGTTGATCTAACGGCGAACAATGTATGGAGAACGAACATTGTCCTTTATGAAAACAAATATTAGGATACATCACATTTATGAATATTATAGTTATTTATACGAATGATTATGAGTTTCGATCATTAGTATAGAAAAATATATGAAAACAAATATTAGTAAAAACTAAGTGTATGATTAGTGATATTATGAATATCAATGATTATGTTTTTAAATATGTAGGTTTTAAATTTTTTATGAAGAATGATCATTATGGTATCAAATTGTATGAGAAATATTTTCGGACCTCCAATGATAGGAATTGAAAAGTTATGTAAGAAAATGTGCTACCAACGTAAACTCATGGTAAGTAAACTGATGATAAAGTTATACATATTTTCATTTTTCATTGGAGCGGACATTTTAGAAGCACTTTATGTTTCCCAAAACTTTTTACAGACAGAACAAATTAAAACAATCCATAAATTCTCTCTAATGATCAATTTTCTTACAAAATGGCGATGAAAAGTTTTTCATTGCTATTGACAAATACATCAATTTAACCATATTGATTGATCGGGTAAGACCGGGGTCACTCCAATAAATTGTGAATTAAGGGTAATTAATCATGTTGAGGACTACGTAAATGATGGTTGGGAGACAGATTTCACAGTGTTAATTGAATTTTTAACTGAAACAGATTTTGGACTTGTTAATGATGATAATGCTGTCATTAATATCCAAAGTTATTGATTAGACAGCATGTTAGCAATATCAGTAAATAATGACACTTTGCTCCGGCGAATAATTTGTCTATCAATAATGCCATAAAAACGAAATTTCATAAAAGTGCTTAATGACCGTCATCTAATCGTCATTTCAGCCACAGGACGTCCACTGCTGAGCATAGACCTTCCCCAATGATTTCAAGATTGGAGCGCCTTCCTGCAACCTTTATCAGGTGGTCCACATGGTGGACTGTGAGTGGACATCTCATGCATTGATACGACTAAACTTTCCAACATTTCGCCATAATGAAAATCTCCATCGCATTCACAAAACGAGAAAGCCATTACCAGTTTTCAAACAAAGGAGTAGTTTCCACTTGACAGCATAATAAAGTTCGAGCGCTGATGGCCGAACTTGGCCGGTGTATTAAAAAATAGTTAAAACTTGTTAAGGGGACTCGAAGAAGTATTTTTCTTGCCGCCCCGCTTAACTTCGGAGCTGGTTAAAAGAAAAGTGTGGAAACTACTGCTGAATGCATATTTTAAGTAAGTTTTCCTTTTATTCACTGTGGGAGAGGTGCAAAGATCTTTGTGAAATGGTTTTGGATGGCCTACGTTGTTTTTGTATGATTAGATTCACATAATGAAATCGGTATTAAATTAATCCAAATTGTTACAAGTGGTAGTATTGGTAGCACAACCGACGAAAGATAGAGTAAATGGATTCTGGAATAGTTTACGTTTTAGCATAAGTATTGCAGGTCATTCCCCTGCTTGATAGGCCGATACTATGATTCCTTTTCTTATACATACTTTGGTGTACGGGTTGGTACTCTAGCCTGCTATTTTACAGAATAACTGAGTCCCCTTTTAATCGAATTAAGTAGGTACCTACATTTTATCATAGTTAAACAGTGACTCGATTTTGAAAAGATTTAATCAAAAACCTTCCAAAATAATTTTAATCGCCGCACCCTGTTAAGATAACAAAACGTCAGCGTAATCTGTTGTAAAGCCATAAATTGTGCCTTCAACAAGATCCGAACGCGGTCAGTTGCGCCCTTTATGGGATAAGCCACTTATCTGATTCACCACCGAGCCTCGGGCTTGCATATTTATGAATATCGTTACAGATTTACATTTTAACCGCATGTTTCTGTTTGAATTTTTAGGAAAAATATTGTCCAATTTTGAGGTTTTGTGTTTCATGATAACAAAAATACTGTCCGAAACAGTAATTGGGAAATATTTTTTGCAAGTAGGCTTTTTAATAGCATTTTTACACGTCCCAGTATTAAGCCTACCACTGCTTCGGGACAATAAATGGGCCAGTGCTGAGAGGAAGCAGCGCAAGAAACTCAGTCGCTACTCGTATTGCGGCGCAGTCACTCAGTCGCTACTCGTATTGCGGCGCAGTCACTAAGCGTAGACTACTAATTTCTCCATTTGCCTCTAGGTTATTAAAGAGGATCGTGGTCTTGTAGTGTAAAATAAATGACCATGATGATGATGATGATGATTATACGTATTAACATATTTCCTGCCAAGCATAATAATCTTAGCAAGCTTACAGCTCGTTTAAACCTCTGTATTCATTTCTGTTCCACACAAACGCTTTGACATAGTTTCTTACAATTCTCAAAGGTCCCTTTATCCGGCGCATTTCGAAACCCTCGCCGTTTTTATTTCATTTCCTACAAAGCAGGAACTGCAAACATTGCATTGTATGCTTTATAACGTGGAACATTGTTTAAAATTAACAAACCGAAGTTTCCTTGTTGCCCATGTTGGTTAAGGTTTGTGTCCACTAAAATTGCTAGGCTATAACTACGACAGAGTAGCTGGGAAAAGTATAGGGAACCAGATAACGATAGGTTAACTATGTGCTGGACAAATTACGAGTCAGGAATGGTGGAAAATGGTGTATCAGTATTATTCAGTATGCATCAGACCATAGGAAGTGAAAGCGGGAGATATGCGGAGTGTTGTGTAATAACTACGACCACTCTACCAAGAATAAAATAATAGAGCTGAAGCCCACAAAACTCGACATAACCGCACGTACAAAAACGTTTCATCCACGAAGACGCGGCTCACCATTCTTCCGCTAATGTTTGAGTGTTATCGGTACACGCTGAATTATACATGATGAGTGCACACGCACACTACAGAAATGACGCTCGGATTGCTCGGATCATACTCCCCGCACCCCGCGCTTCTCTCGACCAAAATTTGGTGGGGCGCTCTTTGTGAATGAAACGATCTATAAAACAATGTAAGGCAAAATGAGCTACTAACTATACCTGCTGGGCTAGTCGCATAAGTTTGTAAAGCTTGTAGTGTAACATGCCCTAAAACACAGATGACCCGGAGGTAACTGTGCAACTAATTTAAACTTTAAATTGCCCACTTTGGGGACATGCAATATACTATGTTCATCTAAATGGATTACAGTTTGGGCAGTATTAACTTGAACACATTATTAATTGGGCCAACATTCTACTGTATTACGAGTAATATCAACTTACTTTGTAGGTAAATCCTAAATGTTTGTAAATAATAAATATGTAGAGAAGCCTCAAATTAATGTAATTAATTTTTGCTACGAACCTAATGAACGTTAAATTAAGAACAATTAACATTTTCGGCAATTAATGTATTATTTTGTGTATTTGAATTTCGTTAACGTATTAAGAATTTGTTTTGAGACATTAACTAAATGAACACCCAAATTACTGAGTCGATTTATCTCAAAATGCTTTCAGTTTATTTTCTTTGATGTTCGTAATAACATTTTTGCTGGAGATTTTCTCATACATACCCAAAATATTCAATCTGTTTTAGTCAAACACGAAATAAGATTACACGGTTGGGTAAATAAATACGGTAAAAACATGAAATTATTATCAAAAGGTTAACTCGCTAAATTATGGTTTTCTCATGCTAGATACTTTTGTATGGAAGAATAAATAACAATTCAACATCGTTTATGCTAAATGACTACCAAAGCTGGACAAAGGCTTCTCCTAATAATTTCTCCACAACGACTGGTCCAGGTGCTTCCCGGGACCTTCACTAGATCGTCAGTCCAATTAGTGGGAGGCCTGCCCATACTAAGTCTTCTGGCCCGTGATCACCACTAGGGAACTTCTCTGCTCCAACTGCCATCAGTTCTACGAGTCAAGTGCTCCACCCACTGCCACTTAAGTTTGGCAATTCTGCAGGCTATGTCGGTTACCTTTTAAACCCTTAAAAAGGAGGCTGACAATAGTGACTGAGTTTCTTGCACTGCTTCTTCTCAGCACTGGCCCATATATGGTACAATTCCAAGACGGGCCGCAGACCGCAAACTGCAACAGATTTCGTAGTTTTGCAGTTTGCGGTCTGCGGCCCGTCTTGGAATTGTACCTTTATTATCCCGAAGCAGTGGTAGGGTTAATATTGAGACGTGTAAAAGTGCTTTTTACTTAAAAGCCTATTAGCAAAAATAAATGAGTTTTATAAGTTTTTTTATTAGTTATTTTTTAAGAAAGTCTAAGTTACTCCTACCCTGCGGTCAGTAAACTTAAATTCGCCTATTCCCATAGCGTGCATAATATTCAATTTTCAAAACACTACGGCCAGTGTAAACAGAAAGTCCATCTATAGACCCAGTATACAAACGACGGTAAGCTAAACGCTTTAGGATCTTATCCCGTTGTAATAAAGGCTATTTCACAACGAAAATGTGTAGTCTAATGTGCTGTTATCTGTACATCCGCAGGCAAAACTTAATCGGGCGAATCCTTCATTTGTGGAGTATCCTCAAAGTTTCCGAGGGCACGAGCGTACGCCCATCGTCCACAGAATTGCGAACATTAGGGCTGCCACTCTTCTGGAACCCAATTTCGTTTCGTTTGAATGCCTCTCGAGAGGCTTATTCTCATTGATCGCGATTTTCATAACCATTTTAAAGTAGATTCGCTGTTATGACTGTGAAATATACGTAAATAAATAAATAGATCTTTAATTAAGTCTTTCTCTAGACACGTAATAGGTTTTTGGTTTCTTGGAAATGAAAAATCGTAGTTTTTAGTTATAGCTAAATTTCTCGGTACAGCGGTTCAAGCGACCGGCTTGTCTATCCATAATATTTTTTTAATGTTATGTTACCTACACTACCTACTTATACATTAAATGACTTCGTGACAAAATGAAAATTTTAATTTTGCAAATTAATTTAGTTAAAGGTTTTCCTATCGAAATCATTTCTTTCGTGACAACCTTGATCGATCGATCGATCTTGTTTTCCATTTGTCAATAAGCGGTAACCCTGCAAAGCTTTTGGTGTCAGTTTTTAGGGAAAAACTGAGGCGTATAACGGCCTGAAAGCGGTCTGGCTCTGAAATACTCTGTTACTTTGCAGATACAACAGCTCAGAGAGAACAGCTAGGTTATTAATAACCATGAGTTAGTAATATTTTTTCATGTACAGTCGTATATACGTATTTTGTTACAAAATCGCCCTTAGGATAACTATCTTAGGGGCCACTTTATTTTGATGTGCTGCTGCCCGTTACTTTACGTACCTTTGAAACTTTCCTAAAAATGCGAGTAACTCGCGAGGATTTTGAACGAATTTTTTAAAATTTTCATTTACAAAAATATGGGAGCTAGTAATTTATTTTTGTCTTCATTTTACAAGCTTATACAAACTCTCATTTAATGTTTGCCCCGTGTAAAGATGCTGTTCAAACACGTTTCCAACAAAGGAAAATAAGTGCAGGTTCATGAAAGCATTCAAAGGATTTTAGGAGGGTTTTAGCAAAATCCTCGGTGTACGGGTCAGACTATTTTATGCGCGGGTAGTTTTAGAGGAATTTTTTAACAAGAAATATTTAAAATATCCGTTAGAGATTCGAGTCGACGCTGCGAACGTAGCGAACTTTGGCTTGGAACTAAATATTGGGGGAGCCATACGTTGCAAGGACAAAGTAAAACTGAATTTCCCAAGTTAGAGCTGAAGGTCAAATCAAAACGTATTTCGTACGTTCAAAAATGTAATAGGAATTGATTGATTTTGACGAAATATAAACCAAATCTTATCTATCTTAAAACCATAAAGGTAAAATCAATACGCCTAAGTAGTGTCTAGATCAGACACTTCATCATCATCATCATCATTTCAGCCACAGGATGTCCACTGCTGAACATAGACCTCCCCCAATGACTTCCACATTGCACGGTTGGTAGCGGCCTGCATCCAGCGCCTTCCTGCTACCTTTATCAGGTCGTCAGACACTTACCTACGTCTTAAGTTTATAAATTATTATGCTCTTGTACAATCGGCCACAGTCCCAGCTACCCATTTCTGGTAATGCCGTCTCGTTCTATCGCAAAGAATCACAATTGAATGAGAGCGAGAGAAAAACCTCATGTCTTATTAGGACAAGTACTAGTTTTTCTCCCATTCTCAAAAACGTTTTCATCGAAAAAGTCTCGCTTTTGTTTGTCAGCTTCTAAAACATCCTTGGACTGAATTGTAAACCTTTGTCCCCAGGATTCTCTCCCCCACCAGCAGCGATGAGCCCAAACGCGAGGCGGAGCAGACTTGAGAGGGACTACATCGAGGTCATGCGGAGGAGGGGCCAGAGTCGGTCACCGTAGCATCTCTGCTGGCTTTACATGTGGGGGTTGAGGGGAGACTGCAAGTGAGTTCAGTGTTTATTCAAGTTTAAGTGATATGGAAAATATAATATCTAAGACCAAGGTTTTGTTTACCAATATATCCTTGATTTGATTAGTTAAATATTGAAACAATAGGAAACAGATTCACTGCGAAGTAATTTTTGGCGTAAGTTGATTTACAGAAGAAGCATCAGTTTAGTCACACAGTCCGCATAACGTTAATCAATTAATTATCTTATCTTAACACACGAGCTCTGTGAATGAAAAAACAGAGGCAAATCCGAAGAAGAAGAACTTGATGATCAGTTGATCAGACTTACTCTTGTGAAGTTAAAAACGCTTTCGTCTTTACATCCTTTCTTCATTAATGCAGTAAAAATGTTAGTGTTATACATCTATTGAATTTGAATTGTAACTCAGAAAAATATCCGAAACCTTGTCAAACCTTCTAAGATTCCCTTTGCAATACTTCCTATTCTAATCAAAATATTTTCATTTGTCCAGAAATGAATCTCCTAAACATGGACGCGGAGAACCGCGTGGTTCTCAACGTGGGGGGGATCCGGCACGAGACCTACAAGGCCACCCTGAAGAAGATCCCCGCCACGCGCCTCTCGCGCTTGACCGAGGCGCTGGCCAACTACGACCCCGTGCTCAACGAGTACTTCTTCGACCGGCACCCCGGGGTCTTCGCGCAGGTCCTCAACTATTACAGGTCAGTACTTGATATGTAAACCAGCAGTAGTCAGTCTACTGTCTCAAGGCATGGATCATTGTGCTTAGGGTCTAAGCGTAGGTCTTATACTATCAACTACGACCCCGTGTTCAACGAGTACTTCTTCGACCGGCACCCCGGGGTCGCGCAGGTCCTCAACTATTACAGGTCTGTACCTGATGTATAAACAGTAGTCTGCATCTACTAGCCTACTATCTCTAAGTAGAAAAGCTTGGAATTAACGCATAGGTCTTTATTATCAACTACGACTCCATGCTTATGCCAGCAACAGTCTACATCTACTAGCCTGCTGTCTCCACGTATGGATTGTGCTTGGGGTCTAAGCGTAGGTCTTATACTATCAACTACGACCCCGTGCTCAACGAGTATTTCTTCGACCGGCACCCCGAGGTCTTCGCGCAGGTCCTCAACTATTACAGGACTGTACCTGATGTATAAACAGTAGTCTGCATCTACTAGCCTACTATCTCTAAGTAGAAAAGCTTGGAATTTACGCATAGGTCTTTATTATCAACTACAACTCCATGCTTATGCCAGCAACAGTCTACATCTACTAGCCTGCTGTCTCCACGTATGGATTGTGCTTGGGGTCTAAGCGTAGGTCTTATACTATCAACTACGACCCCGTGCTCAACGAGTATTTCTTCGACCGGCACCCCAAGGTCTTCGCGCAGGTCCTCAACTATTACAGGTACTGCTGAAACTACTAGTATTCTTACTGCTTCAGCTAGCTTACTGTCTTCATAACTGAGTCCTATTTTATTTAGGGAAGATTTTAATAAGGCGTTTAAATAATGGTGCTTAGGCTCTTCTCATAGGTCTTATATTATCGTGTTCAACGAGTACTTCTTCAATCGGCACCCCGGGTTCTTCGCGCAGGTTCTTATACTTTAAGTCCTTATTAAAATTTGTTTATTGAATGTCCGTCGACTTCGCGTAGAGCCTATTACAGCTATAGTTATGAAGTCTATTACTTTTGCTCATAGTCCTAATTTATTTATTGAAACCTTGACGTCTTCGCTATTCCAGGTACACTTACTAACTTTCTTATTTAGTTCTTCTGCACTAAGTGCCATTTTATTTAAGGTAGTTATTCTATTTGGGGTTTCTTCTTAGAGTCTTTGCATATGTCTTCAACTGCATAAAATATTACAAATACAAAAGAACTTGTTAGCTTTCTTCCATCTTATATTACAAAAACTATTGCAGCATTTACTACTCTACTTACCTCTGTTCTGAGCCCAATTTATATAAAAACTGTGATCTAGCAAAATTACGGGCAAATATTTACTGATTGACGTCACGTATCATCCGATACGATGCTACAAAGGAATGTTCAGCGATAATCATTGTGAAGTGTGTTCATAAATATAAAGTGGTTCGCAATCCACTCACAAAAATATCACCTACATAATACCCCTCTAGCTGTTTATTTTTCGTGTAGGATTTAAAATGTGCAATCCTCCAGCTGTATCTTTTTCAAGGGATTTGATAGAGATTGTTATAGTTAAAGTCACCATAAATTCTATTAGTAAGCGTCAACGGACCAAGTCACAATATTACGGTATTTCCCGCTTCATTTGAGCTACGAAATATTTTGCGCCCGCGCTAAAACCCGTTCAAAGTTTTCTAATATTCAGTTACAGTATCCGCCGCGTTCCAAAACTTTCTGCTCTTATTGGTGCCGCATATGAGTTCTTTTCAAATATGTTACAAACAAAGTATCATGTAGACTGTCTGTGACAATATTTACGAACTTTTCAAGTTTTTTCGTGTTATTTTTGGTTTTACTTAAAATTGTGACATCAATGGAGATTTGGCTAGCATTTTTATGTTTATTTGTACACATTTGAATGTTGTTTACAGAAATTTCAGTTATAATACTACAACGTATATGAAGTAGCTATTCAAAACACACTAAACCTGAAAATGTGAATTTTTTTAAACTTGATCAAGTTAATTCCACCAACTCACTGTCCACTGCGGAACAATGCTGCTCCCCCAATGCTTTCCATGCTGCCCGGTTGGTAGCGGTCTGCGTCCAGCGCCTTCCTGCTACCTTTGTCGTTGGTGTGGCTGTGGGTAACCAGTCAGATAAATAAATGTTAGATGATAATTTCCTTTTCAATTAGATATTATCTTTTTAAAAGAGAACTCTAATCTTGGGTTTTAATCAAAGTAATGAAACCTTCACCATCAATGAGATTATATGAGAGTTATTAGATAATTGGATGCCATATAAACCCCACTTACAAATATCAATTATAAAGTTTCGCTTCAAAGGCCCTGATAAATTGAAAACGAACTAATCTTTTGATTAATGTTTTGTTAATACTTCAAAATTAATTACTTTCTAATAACGTATTATGGTTTTGATAAGGTTTAATTAAAATTAATGGTGGGATTATTTTGGTAACGAAAATATTTATGAAGGGCTTTGAATGAAATAAAAGAGGCTAGAACTGGCTTGAAGCCATAATCTTTTAAGAAATCGCTTCTTTGACAATTTAAAGGATTGTAGCCGCCGGCGACCACAGTAAAATCGTCTTCGAATAGAAACAAAGAATGTTTGCAGCCGAAGCCACAAGCAACTTTCAGCACAGAAACACCACATTGGTCATCATAATAGAAACAGGAATGTGGCCCTGACAAGAGACACGCGGACGTGGGCGTTGGTGATGCTGCTTGGTGACAGTGGTGCGAGCGGTGCTGGTACTGCGATGAGGGACGGTGCGACGTGCAGTGGTCACAACAAAACAGCTCTTCTCAGAGCTATGCAACGGCTCTTGTCAGGGCCACATTCCTGTTTCTATTATGATGACCAATGTGGTGTTTCTGTGCTGAAAGTTGCTTGTGGCTTCGGCTGCAAACATTCTTTGTTTCTATTCGAAGACGATTTTATTGTGGTCGCCGGCGGCTACAAGATCATATTCGATAGTCACACCACGAGTGCACAAGAAAAGCTGCAATGCGGGAGGAATGGCGACGGATTGTGCAGCTTACCACTTTGCCAAATGCCAAGAGTGCTACGAAGAAGAATTCGGCAGTAGACGTTCTGCTGATGATGATGATGGCGATGATGGTGATAATGATGATTACAATTCATTTAAATTGCTGCAATAATAACTTTGCCATTAGAAAGTAGACAGAATCGATAGTCTACAAGACCATACGAAAATAAGTATAAAAGATACTGCTTTTCGTTAAAGCAAAAAAATCATTTCCACCATCACAAATTGAATGAAACGAACTTTAATATGACGGAATATTTCCACGAACATCAATAGGTACCTTTACAAATGGCCTCATAAAGTCGTCCAATACAGAACGCGTTCGGAATACGCAATAATGGTTCGTCATTTTGTACTTAAGGACATTTATATTGAATGCCTTAAAATATTGGATGAAAAGCGTCTGCATTTTTAGGGTTCCATAGCCCTGACAAGGAACCCTTAATACTCGTAGTTTCGTCATGTTTGTCTGTCTTTTCCATCAAAAATCTGGAAAAATTCATGATAATAGTGTTTTCATAAACTTTTCAGGAAAATTATAACGGTTAAGATAGATCAGTGAGTAATAGTCGTTCAACATTGTAATAGAAAAAATATGAATTAGTAGTTGCTTGTTTATAACGTGTAAAACGTTGCATTGAAAAACAAAACATAAAAAAGTAACGACGGGCAACTACGGAACCCTACACTGCGTGTCACACGACACGCACTTGGCCGGTTTTTCTTATAACCGTTTTGCCTTGAGCGCGAAGATTTAGTGGGAAACACGGTGTTTATCAAGGCAGCGGGTCTTTGTGACGTGGGAATAAAAAACGTTATTTAGAGAAATTTATAGGCACGGTAAGCTGTGAAGATTTGCGGCACAAAAGGGTGGATTTAATATTAGGTAGGTATAGATGAGAGAGAGATAAAATTAAATAATCGAGGTAATAATACTTGTAGACTACGTTAGACTGTAGTTAATTAAAGCCTGTTAGGTTTATTTTGTTCTACTAGATACAAGTTAAATGTACAGTCACGGAATGAAAAGGTTCGTCAGTTTTCAAATTGATTCCTTCAACGAATCGCGAACACATATTACCTTTTGAAACTATGTTACAGAATAATCTCGAGTTAGAGAAAATAACCTTTAACTGTTCGTCAGTAAAGTTCAAAATTATTGATCAAAGTTGTTTGACGATTTATCTTGCCAAGAAGATTATTATGATTGATAAACTAAAACCTTCTTGTTGGTTCAACCTGCCATTATTATTTCTATTAAATAAAAAAAACTATTGTCAATTGGTCAATGTCATCATTGCATTGCACTGATGGGATAGAAAAATAAACAAGCAAAACCTTATTCGTCAGCAAACGTCATATTTATTTAAATGTTAGCAGCACTGTTTCTTGCACGGTTATGTTGGCAGGTTTGACTCTTACAGTACCTAGTGCAAGCGAAAACCGACACTAAGGTGACGAACCTTTTCATTCTGCGACTGTACATTTAGCTTGTAGATCCATCTCACTAATTAGAAAAAATATCTAAAAATATGTCTTATATTTCAAGATAGAATGTTGAACAGTTATTATCGATGTTACTTATTGTGACTTGGAATAAATATCAAAAAATATTATATTTGTTTGTATATTGCGACATCTGAGACCAAGGCACATTTGGGTCGCTGAACTATCGGAGTATTTCAAAGGACAATTAATTGAACTGTATCACCCACAAGGTGGACCGACGACCTCATAAAGGTTACAGGAAGGTGCTGGATGCAGGCCGGTACCAACCAGGTGGTGAAAATCATTGGGAGAGACTTTATGTTCAGCAGTGGACTCCCTATGGCTAAAATGATGATGATCTTAAGTGACAGTCATTTCACGCTTGACAGTTTCCTATTTCATCTCAGTCTGTTTAAAGCAGTTGTAACTAATTTGGTTTACGTCAGTTCAACTTTGTCCTGCTAACAATGTAATCTCATCTTTAACAACCAAATACTTTACAGCAGCACATTAGACTACACAATTCTGTTGCAAGATAGCACTTATTCCCAGCCCATGAGATGCCACGGTGGTAAGCTTGATGTGATACGAATAGGGTTGCCAGGCGTCCGGCTTTAGCCGGACATGTTTGGCTTTTTAGGGACTTTTCCGGCCAAATATTGCCTTGTCCGGCCTGTCCGGCTTTTGTTAGGCTTTTTATTTGGTTGCCGCGCCAGGCGAAAGTCGTGCCACAGAATCATATGAAGTGCGCATGCATGAACGCATCATGATGTTGATTAGCAACCGATGATGATAGTAGGTACTCACCATGAGCTAACACTAATTGCACCCCCCCCCCCCCGTCACATGTCCGGCTTTTAGGGTAAAATGTCCGGCCAAATGAAGCACAAAGTCCGGCTTTTGTGATTTTGGACCTGGCAACCCTAGATACGAAGAAAGGGCGCGAACAATCGATAACGCGGTCAGATTAGGCGAACGTTTATCAAATGAGGCTCTTGGGTGAGAAAGTGCCGCTTTCAACACTTTATCATGCGTTAAAGTAATTGGAGATGGCAATTCTGTTATCATTCTTTATGAGAATAAGAGAAGAGTAGAAAGGTTTATTTACAAGAATATTAGCTCCTGCCTAAACATGAAATTAATGACAAAAATCAACGCAACTACCCCCCGATATAATTTTAGTTAGACTCCGTCTTAGTAGGTATATTTAGAGGAAAATTGTTAAATTGTTACATTACTAACAAACCATATTTATTTTATTTTCGAATCTACTTGTACCTAACAGAATTTTGCAGATGATGATTATGAATTAAGTCTTGTGAGACTTAATTCATAATCATTTACCTGTGGGTAACTAACCTAATCCCAATAAATGTGTATCTACTTTAATGTGAAATTTATTTTCTTTTTCACATTGAAACCTTTCTAGAAATTCCAAAATAGCGCTGGGAAACCGAAAATAGCCCAAATCCGAGAACGTGGGTTCGAAGCCCGCCGCCACTGGATTATTGTGGTAAATCCACTCGTAATACAAGCTTAATATTTAGTTTACCACGAGAGGTTATCGGGACTAACAACATTTGGGCAAATGCAAAAATGCCTGCTATAAGTAATTTTAAATTACTTAATTGAGCTTACTAGTCTCTCATATTTGTGGATCCTCTTTACCCAAATGGGTTTTCTGTTCTCCTCTCTTTGTGGCGCAAATAGCCGGGGAACTTTGCTGGAACAATGAGGCGGCAAGGACACGCTACAAATGTTCCATGTTCCATTATTTGTTCCTACAAAGGGCTGGCATTATGCTGGAGGAATGTTCAAATATTAAACATGTTAATCTGACGTTTGAAATGCGAGAAAGTCGAGAAGACTGTTTTGTTAAAAGGGTTAGATAATAAATGTTACAATTAAATAGCGCAGACAGCTTCAAAGCCTAGCTAGCAGCTAACTTATTAAAATTAAAGTTGCTTATCAAAACACAGAGCCACGATTCGATTCCAATATTGGATACAAACATTCATCACACCCTAGGTGGGTTGATAACCACCTAAGTGTGAATTCCAGTTGTAATATTCAAAAGCTAGAATAGCTGAAAGGTACCAAGATTATGTTCCGAAGGATTAAGAGAAGAATATCGGTATAATACACACTTGTGAAAATAATGTGTTAGCACGAAAACCGATTCTTTGTTAGGCTGTAGTTAATTTATCTACATTTATCTATTTAGAAAGTTCTATCATCCTATCAAAGTTACATCCTACCTACCTTCTGTGACAGGTTAAGTTTTGACTTGTAATAGAATTTTAGCTGAAATCTAAGCTCTTAAATTATTGTCCCTTAAATTATTTTCCTGTAATCAATATTTTTATGTACTAACATTTATTAATTTTTACTTTTATCCCTAGGACCGGCAAGCTCCACTACCCCACAGACGTCTGCGGGCCTCTCTTTGAGGAGGAGCTGGAGTTCTGGGGGCTGGACGCCAACCAGGTGGAGCCTTGCTGCTGGATGACCTACACACAGGTGAGGGCATTGGACTATACCACTTGTGGTAGAGAAAATATGGTACATTATCTCGAGCAAAAATGGTACATTATCGTTCTGCTGACTTGGTGCTTTTTCGATCTAACATCGAAACAAACTTGATGACTTAGGCTGAGTTGCACCACCTAACTTTAACTATGGCGAAAACAGTGCTGTTTGTATGGAGTTTGACAGATTTTTGACGTTTGTCAAAGTTATAGTAGGATGGTGCAACCCAGCCTTACCTATACACAGGTATGATCATTTGATCATTGAAATACAGCACTTGTGGTAAAGAAAATATGGCACATTATCGTTCTGACATGGTGCTTTTTCGCTCTAACATCGAGGCAAACTTGATGACTTACTTCTACACAAGCATGATCATTGAAATAAAGCACGTGTGGTGTAGAAAATATGGTGCGTTTTCGCTCTGACATCGCGGAAACCTGGATGACAATACAGAAAGTTCATTGGAATAGAACACTTGTGGTAGCACAAATATGGTGCTCTATTACTCTGTCATTGCACTAACTAGTCCAAGATTACATAGAGACGCGCCGTCGAGACCTTACTAAGAAGTGATAGCATTGATGAATAATTTCTGTTGTAACAAATTAACATTGGTTTAGTTTAAAATATTGACGTTGTCATTGGTGACGCTCTTCCTAACTACACAACTGTGTTTACACACAATGGATATAACTATACGTTCTGGGTTCTATTCTAGATTGGTTGCCATTTTGGTTCAAAAAAAATATTTTAGGTAGCTATTTTACTTTAGTGTGAACAAACACAATCTGATGAACCAAAAAAATTTTTTCTTTCTTTCTTTTAAAATCTTATTTTCAGCCACATCATTACCATAACTTGAACCACTCAAATTTTTAAAAGACATTCTTGTTCAAAGCTCGAAATCACTCGCTTTTAAATTACCCACAAACAAGTAAATTGTAAGAACAACAAAAAGAAACAAATATCTACTCGTAAAACCGTATTATCTCCCTTCTTATATTTACCCAACTTTTCAGGAACGAATATCACTTTGCTCTTTGCGTGTTTACGTATAAAAAACGAAACGAATGGCACAAAATTTAATTAGGCCATGAGATACCTACTTTTCCGTCACAGTATTATCATGAAAAATAAAGTGTCTTTACAGCAGTTTCCTGGCCATTTTTATATGGTTTAACAATTAGTTTTTATAAATAGCTTGGATTATTTTTAAAGAAAAGCGTAATAAGAAAGAGGGAAATTACATAAATATAATATTTCACGGGGAGTATTTTTCAACGTCGTTTTTCTAAGGCACACTGAGCAATTTATTTTCATTTCTTTACATTTTTATCAAGCATATAATGTACTGTAATGTAGTGTGCTGTTAACAGGGACAGTTTTTCTCACTCAACTCAACACAAACAAACTCAACTCTGTTATTTGAAACATTCATTCAAAATTTAAATTAAGTTTGTGAGAATAGATGGATGTTTGTTACACTTTCACGCAAAAACTATTACAACTTACATAAGGGGCATTCCACGCGAAGCGGGCAGGTAAAAAAAGTCGATGTTTCCGATTTCAGTATTTTTGTAATATAATGACTAGTTTAAGAGTTATGGGTCTTCGAAGTTTTCGACAACCGGTTGGCATGCAGTACTTCAAAGCCGATTATGGAGTCATAAAATTATATATTAAAATAATTAAACCACGGGATTTATTACTTCATTTACCGTGCTTTTTAACTGTATTTTTGGAAACGAAAAAAAAATTATTTTTTCCCAAAAAAAAATGCAAATTAATTTTTTTTCCTTGATTTTCACAAAGTTCGACCCTTTCGATTTTTTTAATTTTTTTTTATTTAAATAGCTAATATTGTGTAGAACATTCATGCCAACTTTCAAAGTGGGCGTGGAAGTGGATTCGGAGCTAGACTGAAAATACTGCCGAAGGGTGGCGTCCAGCGCCGCGCCGTCGCGCTGCCGCGCCTCAAGCCCGCCGCCTGTGCGCGTTTAGTTAAACTGACAAGCAAATAAAATCACTTTTGACGGAATGTTTTGTAGATTTTTAATAACATCAAGACATTTTTAATACCTATTAAATACTAAAATACGTTATAAAATAAAGTAGTAGTAGTAGATAAAGTTGCGTTTTTCCGTATCGTGAAAAATAAATTACATTACTCGTAACTGTGAATATTTCCTAACAAAAATAGAATGAGCTGTTATTTTTATACCTTTCGAGTTACAAAAGGCGATTATGTGGGAGGCAGACGGTCGTCAGTGCTTTCATCCTATTCCTATGAAATTAAGTGGCTCATAATAATTTTTAGATATAATGAATACTAGACCTTTCATTCTATCTAGTCTTTTGAAAGGTCGTAAATTATTGGTAATTAGAAGATATTGTGGACCGGATTAATAGATCCACCAGTTAATTTAGGTCAGGACTAATACCCAGAACCGAACCGAACCGGCCGTGCCGCCCGGCATGTGCGGATACGCCATAACTAGGCTTGTGTAGTACATGTACTATGTACTAATAGGAAGCAATTCCTTTAATTAAGTGAACGAGAACGAACTATTCCGTCTTGGTCGTTCAAATCGGTCTTTTAGTTCACTTTAGTACAGCCGATCACTAATGAATAGGTGTGAACGAGACGTGAAATTGGTGACAACCGCGCGCGAGCGAGATGGATTCGGCTCTGTGAGTGTGTAGCGAGTATTTTTCGATATTGGACCATAAATGCATATGAATAAAGACTTTTTTCGTTCGATCTACCTAATAGAATCAGTGTACTAAAATGTGCTAGTTAATAGTACTAGAAGACCGAACTAGTTCATTTGACCGATTTTCGGAGTTCGGAGCGATCCTTTCAGTGTCCGAGTAAGAACAAGCCTGGCCATAACGTATTTTTTAGTATTTAATAGGTACTAAAAATGTATTGGTGTTATTAAAAATCTAAAAAACATTCCGTCAAAAGTGATTTTATTTGCTTGTCAGTTTAACTAAACGCGCACAGGCGGCGGGCTTGAGGCGCGGCAGCGCGACGGCGCGGCGCTGGACGCCACCCTTCGGCAGTATTTTCAGTCTAGCTCCGAATCCACTTCCACGCCCACTTTGAAAGTTGGCATGAATGTTCTACACAATATTAGCTATTTAAATAAAAAAAATTAAAAAAATCGAAAGGGTCGAACTTTGTGAAAATCAAGGAAAAAAAATTAATTTGCATTTTTTTTAGGAAAAAATAATTTTTTTTTCGTTTCCAAAAATACAGTTAAAAAGCACGGTAAATGAAGTAATAAATCCCGTGGTTTAATTATTTTAATATATAATTTTATGACTCCATAACGGCTTTGAAGTACTGCATGCCAACCGGTTGTCGAAAACTTCGAAGACCCATAACTCTTAAACTAGTCATTATATTACAAAAATATTTGGTACACGTATCAATAATATGTATAAGTAGAACATACTCAAATATTACTGAAATCGGAAACATCGACTTTTTTTACCTGTCCGCTTCGCGTGGAATGCTCCATAAATTAATAATCCGAAAACCGTTAGTCCGATTCCAAATAAGTTGCTCAAAAACTTTTCATAAAACAAACTAACCGACCTTTGAAATCACAAAACTCGTTGAACCCATCAAACTAGATCTTCTAACGGCTTCGGTTTACGTCACGTTTCCAATATCACAGAACTTCGCAAGCGAATTAGTGACCGAAAGTTTTTACAGTCCAAAGTTGGCTCGTCTACGTCCAGTAACGACGGACACAATATGTTTGTGGGAAACTTTCGTAAGTGTACAAAGTTTGTGGTTATGTGAGAACGAAGACTGAAATCTGTCGTGACCCTCACTCGGCATGGGGTACACTGAAAATAAGTGTCGCCTTGGTCACCGTGGGCCACGGCATTTATGCTGAGTCGCGTCCCGTTGCAGTGGGCATCGTTATTATGAGCTGGCAATTCTCAGTTCACTCTTGTTTTTTTTTTTATTACCTGTTATGTCTGCCTATATTACATTATATTATGTACCAGTCTGTCTTTGTGTGATATCCTGTGTAATGTTTCTTTCTATAGCTTTTTATAAAGAAAAAAATCATTAAATTATTCTTTTAACCACATTATCTCTTGGTCTGATCCATCTCAACTGATGGAAAGTGATGATCTGGCTGAAGGTGAACCCTCACTTGAAATCCTTAGCCACGCAGGAACTGGCTATCTTAGCTTACATACTTATGAGTAGATACGATGGTGATAGCTAGACAGAGCAGAAAAAACGGAATCGTTCAAACTAAATTCTAAAAGCAACAAAAGTCAATAGCGCGAATATATTGAAAACTAAAACATTTTAATTCATTAGTTAAACCGACTGTTCAGCTAAATCGGATTCACTATTCAAACAATCAGGACACAGAATCAATGAATAGCACCCAGATAAATTTTAAATGAGTTTCCCATGCAATTTGTCATGTTTTGGCGGTAATCCTACAAATCCGATCGTCTATTTGATTAACGCTGTTTCACGGATGATTGAATGCAGTTGAATGTTGTAAAAAAAGGTTAATGACTGCTGGAAATATTGTACTTAAGCTCTTTTCCTGTTTTAAAAGGTTAATGACTGGTAGAAACATTGTACTTAAGCCCTTTTTTTAAATCGACAGGCAGTGGTGACTCAGTTTGTTGCGGTGCTTCTTCTCAACACGTCTTGCCAATTTTTTGTCTCGAAGCGCTACCGCGATGATAGGGCAAAAAATAATGAGACAAATAAAATTTGTCGATTTGCAAGTAGTACTAATTTAATTACTTAGACCAAAAAATTTAATTATTTGATTTGATACAAAAATAAATTACTTGTAGGTATAATAGTACCTGACAACTGCAAACATGGTTAACATAATTAAATTAGTTCGTTAACGTAACAAATGTATTCTTTCCATTAAATTTTCAGTGGCTGGGCTTAATTAGTATAAAACTCAAAGAATATAAAGTGTTATATGAATTTGCTCTCGGCGGTCCGTCCGCAGCACTTTCATTTGCATTTTGCATTAAAAATGTAATTAACTTCGCAATGAGCTTTATAAAATAAATGTAGACTTTATTCATTTATACTTCATTTGGGGAACGCGGAATCATTGATACTGTTTCTGTTTTTAAAATGTTAAATAAATACAAAATTGCATTCCAGTTTAACTAAAACAAAAATCATATTGTCTCCGTAAGGGCTGGATCGATTTTTAAAGGACTTTAATTAGTTATAGGGTTGGGTGACAGACAAAACCTGAAATAATATCTAAACTTGCTCAATCACAGAAAAATCTCCCTGAATCATCAGTTCTATATTGTATGTTTTATTTTGTATTCTGCCTATATTGTGTATTGTGCCAAATAAACAATATTCTATTCTATTCTATTCTATTCTATTCTATTCTATTCTATTCTATCTTAACTATCCTACAAATTATTTATTGTTAGAAATTCTAAAAAGATCCAAAGCGAATGCAAATTCAGAAATAGATACAGAAAATTGACAGCTAATCGTCGATTCGCCAGAACAGATAACAAACATTCGGTTAGTCTATAACAATATACAGACAGACAAAAAATCTGCCGTCCCACTTAAACAGCGCCATTTTGTGTAAAAATATTTTCGTTTGAACACCCAACTGAGCGGATTTTAAAATTCAGGTAGATTAAAACCAAATATTGGTAAAGTAGGTAACGAAAATTTTATTCGAATTTGCTTAATCGCTGGAGTAATAATCCTAATGGTTAAACGGGGGTTAAAAAGATTTCAGAAATATCATTTTAAAATGCAAATGAAAGTAAAAAATAATTGCTTTAGGTACATTTTATCTACATAATTATTGGTATTTTTGGAGTTAGAGCAAATAAAGCTGATTAATTAAATTTTATTATTTCCAGATAATATGAGATTAAAGCATTGTTGCAAGAGAAAAAATGTAAAAAGATCTACTTCGTCATACAATTTTATTGTGACTCAAGTAGTACAATTTTAACCCGTTCTGTGTTCGTTGATAAAAAGCTGACATGGCCGAAAATTTTACAGCGTGTGAACAACATTTACAAAGTCATAACCGTGAATTATTCGTAAACGACCTGACAGCGTTTTCATAAAAACAGTTAAAGGAAATATAGCATCCTTTTCGTCCACTATATCACGGTGAATGGCAAGGTAAATGCGTTGTAGCTGCGATTCAAAAGTTGTGAACTAAAATAAAAACGTTTATTAAAAAAAACTATTTATTTAAGACCTCGGGAACACAAGGTAAAGGAGAAAAACATAAATCATAAAATAAAAACATAAGCTGCTAAAAAGGCTACTCGCTTATCATTATTTAATGACTTTAATGAACAAGTGTCCAGGGACAGAAATCAGTGGAAGGCTGAAGAGGAGGCCTATGTTCAAAAACGAACCTCTCGAAGACTGATATAGATAAATAGATAAAATAAACAATATGGGTAAATGTTTCCGTGTATGAACATGATATTTAATAACAGTTTTATTTTTATTTTTCACCGGCGATACATAGACCTAACCTATTAGACTTCGCAATAAAACTCATGTGTCACATGCAAAAAACAATTCGATGTTCGAATGCCAATTAAAATTTCCCCTTTGTTTCCGCCATTGAGAATAATAACGTTAAAAACATCGCGTCGGTTCGCATTCGAATGCGGTTTTGTTTCATTCAGATTTCAATTTATTTAATCATTTTATTTATTTACTACGATACCATTTACGTTCCGTATTTTGTATTTTAAACATAGATCACGTAGTACTGGAAAACGCGGCTTGAGTAAGCAAGGCAAGCGCCTCAGATTTATTTCGTTTTAGCTGAATGACGTCTACTGCTGAACAAAAGTCTTCCCAGAGATTTCTACAACGAACGGTCATGCGATGCTTGCATCCAAGTTCTTCCCGTGAACTTCACCAATAATAATTATTAAAGCCAAGTTTTTTGTTGAAATGGCAGATAAAAAAACTACAAGAAGAGAAAAAGCCCCAGAATTATCATTTATGAGATTTATAAGCCCTTATTTTCTTACCCCATTCCAAAAAAATATTGACAGAGAAATTACTAACAATCCCATTAACCACTCGTGGTAAGATAAATAATCTTGAGTTACAAGAGGATCAAACATAGCCCGTAACTGTCCAAGTCTTTTCAAATGTAATTTTCCCCACAGCACCGAGACACCCAAGAGACCCTGGCAGTCCTGGACCGGCTGGACCTGGACACGGAGAAGCCGTCGGACGAGGAGGTGGCGCGCAAGTTCGGCTTCGAGGAGGACTATTACAACGGCACCGTCTCCTGGTGGCAGCAGCTCAAGCCGCAGATGTGGTCGCTGTTCGATGAGCCGTATAGCTCTAATGCTGCTAAGGTTGGTTTAATAAAGCTGATCATCATCATCGTCAGATCATTTATACTCAACTACAGGTGGATGACTCTATCTATGAGCGCTTTCACATTAGGGCGTTAGAAGCGCGACAGCAGAGCGGCAGAGGATTTTTTATAATGTGAAGGCATGCATCCGCCGTCATATAGTAAGTATGAAATTATCGACAGCGCGTCTGCTGCGCGTTTGTCGCGTTGCTAAAGTCGCCTAAATATGAAAGCGCTCTTTGTGTAGGTGCACACTGAGCGACACGCGACAGCGACAGCTCGGCGACTTAACGCCTATTCTTGTATTGTAATGTTGTCATGTATTAGCTTGTCACCACGACAGAGTCGCGGAGCCACTGCCTGTCGCCCATTGTGCGCCTACACTATGTGGTCGCTTTTCAATGAGCCTTACAGTTCTAAAGTTGCTAAAGTTAGTTTATTAAAGCTGATGATCGTCGTCATCAATTAATCATTTAGTCCCCACTGCTGGAGAATGAGCTTCTCTCTATTGTTTAGCTAGTTTGATAAAAAAATAGAGTCCGACTTCACCTTGGATTCGATCACAAGATAGCATATTTTGTGTACGACAAACATAACTTTAAAAAAATAGGTTTTAATGATACGGAAGAATCTACAAAATAAGATCCAGTCATAAAAATCACAACGAACACAATAATAACAAAAGACCACTACTCCCGAGAACTTTATCACTCACTGTAATACTAAAAATTCTCACAGATCCTGTAACAATCTTGGCGAAACTTTTAATAAGATTTCGAGTCCAATTTCATACAACTTTCTTAAAGAAAACCAGTAGTATTTTGAAAGTGCCAAGTAATGTTAATATCTGAGTTTTAACTCACTAATTCTGAACAACTGATTATTCAAATGAATAATATTTTAAATATAAACAGACCGAGAAAATAACTAAGATAATAAGCGTGGATTTTGAAGATATCACCGAAAATGCTAATTAAAACAACCATCTGTTTTAATGTCTTGAACCGAGTATTTTGCAAAGTAAAATTAAATGCTAAATTGTAATCCTTTTACTTTATGAAGTGTAAAATATTGTAGAGCAATCTACAGGGGAGTTTGTCTAAGAGATGAACATTATAATTTAAATTTATGGTAATCAAAAATTTTCCTCTGGTGCGGTTAGGTCCCCGAGTTTGCGACAATCGTGAACTCGAGCCTTTATGGTGGGGGATTAACATAATTTATTCACCAGATGTAGCAATTTATGATTAAGAGTCTAGAAACGGTGTTATTTTATTACGTGTTCATTAATTCTGCTGATTGTTCATTAATTTTTCGGCACCTACCTTCGCGTGATCTTGATTTAAGATGAAGCAATTTAACGTTAAGAGAATCCTACTATGTTTCATATGGGAAATTCTAAGTTAGTTTTAATTTGAAATGTTCTTAAGTTAAGATAATACTGTACATAAATAAATACCTTAAAGAACTATTGTCTAATCAATAATTTTCTTTTCAGATAATCGGGGTGATATCAGTGTTTTTCATATGCGTCTCCATCATATCGTTTTGCCTGAAAACGCATCCAGACATGAGAGTGCCAGTGATTAGAAACTATACAGTGACAACCGCCAACCAAACCCAGAGCTGGGCTCTGGACAAAGTGCAGACGAACGCGCACGTCGCCTTCTTCTACATCGAGTGTGTTTGCAACGCGTGGTTCACTTTAGAAATCCTAGTCAGGTTCATATCTTCACCCAATAAGTGCGAGTTCGTCAAGTCATCTGTCAACATCATCGACTACATTGCAACGATGAGTTTTTACATCGACTTGATCCTCCAGAAGTACGCGTCTCACGTCGAGAACGCTGACATCCTGGAGTTCTTCTCCATCATCAGAATCATGAGACTATTCAAGCTCACGAGGCATTCCTCGGGGCTCAAAATTCTTATCCAAACCTTCAGAGCGTCAGCAAAGGAGTTGACGCTTCTGGTGTTCTTCTTAGTGCTTGGGATAGTGATATTCGCGAGTTTGGTGTACTACGCGGAGAGGATACAGACGAATCCGCACAATGACTTCAACAGCATCCCGCTGGGTCTGTGGTGGGCTCTGGTAACCATGACCACGGTGGGGTATGGTGACATGGCGCCCAAGACTTACGTCGGCATGTTTGTGGGTGCTTTATGTGCCTTGGCTGGTGTAAGTATATTAAAATTGCCTTCCAAAAGTTTCATTGTATTAGTTTTAAATTTTTGGACCAAAATGTAACGGTAATAAAACCGCAATTACGACTCATGAATTTCAAATCATACACCACTCAAAACATGAACCTTTTATGATTCAAGACAGCGAGACCTTTAGATATTTACATCGGGAATATAAAAATGGCACGACCAAAAATAATACTGACAACATGAAGGGCAATGTTGAATATTTTATACGATTTTGAAAGGTTTCGGCCGCAAAAGATCACAATTATTAGATACGGGTTAGAGTCTGATCGACAACAAATCAAAGTAAACCGTGACAAGTTATGTAGTTCTATTATGTGATTTGTTTCAATAAATATGCATTGCCTAATGTGCTGCTCACGTTGTACACACACTGCCACACTGTTAACTATCCATGTCCGTTTTTGCTCTTGCTCCAATCAAATGGTGATTCTTTGCGATACAACGAGATGACATGACTGGCAATGGGCAGTTAACACTGTAGCCAATAGTACATTAAGAATCTGAATTAGATCTTTGAAACCAATAGAGTAAAGTTAATAGTAATATTTCTGGATATCAGCCACGTTTTGGTCTAAAACCTTTGACTTATTTACCTATATCAAATTCGATAACAGAGTGATGAAGGCAATTAAAAATTTTGGTTTATTGTGTTTACTTATTGTTAAAACTGCATTTTGATATTGATTAGATAATATATTAGAAGCTGTCGCTGTTTTTGCTTAGTAAATTGAGTAATTTTCTAAATATTTATAAACCAACAGGTACTCACGATAGCCCTGCCCGTCCCAGTCATAGTGTCGAACTTCGCTATGTACTACTCCCACACGCAGGCGCGGGCCAAACTGCCCAAAAAGAGGCGGAGAGTCATCAACGTGGAGCCCACCAGACCTCCTATGCGTAAGTATTATGAAGTAACATCAATCTACGAATAGGAAAACTTCTAACTGCTATAAATTGATAATTATGTGAATTCTACGTCAACTATTGGTCATGATTTGTAACCATTGAAGAAATGAAAGATGTAGAAAAATTCTTCATAACAAGTTGTTATTGTCTGTACTCCTACGGATAAGGAAATAACAGATCATCATCATTTTAATGCTTACTTGTAACAGTCATGTTGATGTTGTTTTGATGTCATGATTAACTTTAACATTATCGCATGATGAAATTAACAATGTTAATAAACTTAATATCTTAACATCAGAATCGAGAACGTTCGATTCCAAGTCCCATATACCATGGCAATATTTACTTCTATAGGTACTCCTGGAGTCCCAGGCGCCCCCGGCGGAGGTCCCATGCCTCCAGGGATGGGACCCCAGGCCGTGAACCGTAGAATGAACGCCATAAAGACTAACCACCCCAAGGACATGATGGGACCCAACATGGGTAAGATGTTATAAGAAGTGGAAGCTATGAGTATGGAAATAGCGAATCAAGATGGTCTTTTACTTGTAGCTTTAGGAAAGTGCATTCAGAGATATCCTTATAAGATGAAAGGTACTGTCATTTTTTATTGAAAAACACAGATAAGTACTTTAAAACACATAATTACAGTTATCAATTTAAATTACAGTTAAATCAAACAACTTTTTAACTAAGAAGCAACTAAAGAATTTGGATTTTAATGTTAAAATCTTTGGATCAGATTTGTATTATTTTGAAATAACTGACGATTAATGATTATATTTGTACAAAGTTTTAATTTTGAACGATTTGAGTGCAAAATTTCCTGCAATAATAGAATAGTCGGATAATTTATCCAACTAACTGATCACTACCGTAGGATCAAAGGATCTCTCTGAATGAACACCAAGACAAATATAGTCCTTAGACGAGTACTATCAAAACATACAAATACAGAAAGAAACCTTACAGGCTAATTTGGTTGTGTAAATATTCCAAAGAAATCTACTCGTAAAATAAATAAATTAGTTTCTAAGGTTCCAAATGATCCACTTGTAGAATTGGCACAATAAGTGTTTGAAGTCACTATGTAGAATTAAATTAATAAAGTTGTCAAAATTATACGTCATTGGCAATCCAAGATATTTTTTCACTACACCTCTAAAAAGGAACTAAATTTTTAACTAATTTACTAACAGTTTTTGACACTAACAGACAGATAACATGATATTAAATAAGGATTAGTTTGATGTAAATGATAGTGATATTTTATTTCTAATGTATAAAACGATGTCTTGTACAATACTTACTTGCATTAGAAGTGAATTATCCTTAACATGGATAGATTTGATCAGTATTTATTAAATTCTGGAGTATTTTCTATCTAAATTGTAAAATATTTCTGTTCAAAATTATACTGAACAAATCTATTCATGTGTTCAATGCCAGTGTAAATTTTAAACTCACTTTACTAAACATAGAGATTACAATCCCAATGTTTCACTACACCAGTATTTCCCATAAGCGCACTAAGTTGTATGATAACTATTTTGATACAATAGCTTAAAAAGTTCTTGTTGTTGATTGCCAAGAAGTGTGATACAATAATAAAACTTTTATCCTGAAAAATAGAATACCCTACAGTTTGTTTTGATAGAGTGTCATATATTTAAAATGACACATCAAGTTTGTAAGTGATTTTTTCATGTGCCTTCATTCATGATCAGTTCGCCGACCACACATTTGTTGTAATCTTTACTACAGCCCTCTTCATAAATAAGCGACCTCCCATGACACTTTGCCTATTGGGATTGTTTTCTCTAACCTCGAGAACGGTCCTGAACTGTAACCCGTTACCATAACCGTAGCTTATGCAGTGTAATCGTCCACAGATGGAGATCGTAGCGAGCTTGAGGCTATGATCCAAACAACACCAAACAACTGCAAACGAAAAAATTTAAACATGCTTTAGACTACACCCTGCGGGTCTCCCCAAGGCTCAATATTACGCCTGCACACGGACTTAGCTTACAGGAATGCTACTAACTCTCTAGTCATCACATCATCATCATTCTTATCATCTTGCACAAGGCAATCTTCAGGCAGCACTGTGGAAACTCCTAGGTCGTTCGCTTCGTGTAAGGAAGGTTCGGGATTACTTTGATGATGTTGTGTGGAACCCCTTAGCTTAGCTTTGCCGCTTCGATGTCGTTGTAGATAGTGGTGTCTTAGATTATTAGTTACTTTAAAACTTGATTCACAATCCCTGCATAATAATATCCTTTATTAAATTCTTGATATGAATTTTAGAGCTATGTTATAAACAGAAACTCACTCATTGTATGAAACGTTTTGGTCCTTATTTTTTTCTTGCTTAATCATCTAGGTATTAATGCTACTTTTTATTTGATTCAAGTCAAAGTTAAATCAAATGTATTAAAATTGAAAACGGTTTTATAGATTGTGAATCAAAGTTTATGTGACTATATTCATTAGAACTTTATTTTTGTCTGTTTCCTGCATCATGTGGACGTCACATTTTATTTTGAAATTTTGGATTGTGCGTTATAATGTGCGTGTCCTTTAAGTTTTTAGTGACATGACGGCTTTTTTCAGGCTACAAAAAAACAACATGGGCATTAAACCAAAACAACATTACACCATCGGAACCATTGAAATCACAAAACACAGTGGTACACATTTGGTATTATGTACACTAACACATAAATGTATTGTGTATTTAGTTTGACCGTTTGAACTGTGCCGTTCATGTGTAATACTTTAGGTAACAAATATAGACGACATTCTAAATTATTAATATCGATTATCAATATTCAATTTCATCAATTATTCATAATGCATTTGCTTCTATTCTTATTCAACAGACATACTCTTACAATTGACCTACATTTTTGTCTCAAAGTGGTTAAAAATACCCAGACGTATTGTAAATAATATTGTAATACAATACAATCTAATGTTCCAAAGCCCATTCGCACAATGTAACTAAGTGAGACAGTAACTTCTTAAAATAAATCGATTAGACAAATTGTTTATCATTACAGATACTCGGTATATTGTATCGGTACCTCGTGTATATTTCAATATCTACATAACGGCACAGGAAATGGGGTCAAACTTAACAATTATATGTTTAGTTCGTAGACATCCCTAATCGTCGTGACCGGCTGTATTACTCACCATTATAACGCTTCAATTATAGAAAATTGTCTAGCAACAGCAATTTTAGATATTCTTGGTGTCGTATTTTATGTTTCATTTTTGTATTGTCCTGTTCTTAATTGATGTTGTGACTATAATCCCTTCTATGAACTCCCAATTTAATTATTTCTTCAAATATATTTTTGGAACTTTAAATACCTAACAATCGAGCATGCATTCGCATGTTTGTTTCTTCTGTTAAATAAACTCCTTTTTCAAACTCTTGATGTGGTCTTGATAATGTTTTCATTGATACCAGAGGTCAGATTAATTGATTTTGTCTTTTATTTCGAACAGTCGCAACCCTAATGCCGGGGATGGATCTCTCAGTGACAACGCGTCTGACACCAAGTCCTAGAGACATGAGTCCAGCTCTAGCCATTGCTCTACCAATGATGAAATCCGTCAACATCGTCCCAGCTCAGTGCTTCGATAACATGGCTTTCCACGGAGAGAAAACAGAAGATCGAGGCAGCGAGCACAGCAGCAAAACATCGAGTCGCCACGAATCGATAACCAGCGACAACACCGTTCGAGTGAACAACTACAAAAACGAAAGGTACATCGATAAAAGTGACGAGAAAACTGACGCTCGGACTCCGCTCTTGAGAGATCACAAAATCGAATCGTTGGACGAAACGAAGTTACGCGATAACAAGATAGAGAAACGGAAATCATCTGCTTCTACATAACAATCACTCATCGTCATTGTAAATGCTACTGCTAAATTAAACAAAACGAACGAGACCAATAGTACTAAGGTTTCTTTACTATATCATTGTCCTTTTCTTCTAGTGGTAAACAATATGAAATAGATAAGTTGGGAAATTATATAGAATTCGTACCCGACGTGCTTTGCAAAATCGTTTACGCACAAACTGTTGGTGACAAACAAAGCGAAGTGAAGTCAAGGAGTTATTAAATGCTCTATTATACAACACCTACCTTTAAGTGACCTTTTGTGGCTGTAGCTTTATTTTCCAAATCTTCTTTAGTTACTTCTTTAGACATTTTTGTTGAAGTTAATAAATAATTGATTTCAAAAACCTCGCACACACAAAGACACGTTGGTACAATTTCTATACAATTCCTTTCTGTCTACTTTCGCTATGTGAGATAAATATAAGATTGAAAAATAACGAAATTATTTGCGTCAAGTTTATGTTCTGCACGTCATAACGATGACGTTTTACTGCGTAGTCTTAATCTAGAACAATTTGAGATATACTGAAACTAAAGTGAGATAATGTATTTGCTTATGTAAGTGATTGTTTAAGTGTTTTGAATTTTGATGGCTGATGTCGACTGCTATAACACTGTTTACATGTATCAGGTTTTTCCAAATTTCAAAAAGATTTTGCTACAAGTGCACTTAAGTACCTACCTATATGCAGTAATTCAAATCATTTTAGCTGTTTTCAGGGCACCTAAGTATGTCCCAAATAACTTAGCTAACCCACCACTTTGGGACACCATATCGGTAGGTGCGGAGAAGAAGTGGCGTAAGAAACTCATGCCTGCTTTCACCATCAATCCCTAATTTTTAAGTGACCCCTATGAAAACAAAATTCCTGTTGTGTTACTATATGGGTCACTTAAAAATTAGGGATTGATGGTGAAAACGGACATTAATATGTCATGAGTGCGTACTAGGCAGTTAGTTATGTATTAATTTATATCCAGAAATCTGATAAAATTAACAGTCTGACATCAACCACCAAAGTCCTAACGCAAGTGGTGTAGGATTGCCTTTATAACAGTGCTAGATTCACACTTGTGGACTATAATTAACGTTTCGTATGTAAACCAGCATTCGAGGGCCGTGATAGATGTAAGCTAGCGTAAGTGTTTGGGCACTTATTTCACATACATGTTTATGAATAGATGCCTGTCACCAATTAGCTAAGTCACCTATTGCCACTTCAACATAGATTTTGGTTTCGTTGGTAAAATTTTGAAAAAGAAGATTAATTAAAAATAGGTTTTGAGATACTGAAAGACTTTGGCGTTTTGTATAAAAGGTATACCGAGCAAAACATAGGGGAAATTTTGCGAAGCTGAAAGAAGCCAAAATTGAGTTTAAAAAAGAAAATCATCTATGTATTTAACTAGTAAAATAAGATCACTATTGGTAAAAAGCCAGCAAGGAATAATATTTCTTAGTTTACTATAAAAATGAAAACGAATGAATCAAAATTCTAGTTGAAGTGGTAATAATCATTATTATAACCATATTGACCAGGATTCGTAAATAATAGATCGTACGTTTACTGTCCATTAGAGAACCAAGGAGGCTTGTCTAAATTACAAAGTTGTTTTTATGTACGAGTATTTTATTTGTCAAAAACTAAAAGTTATAACGTATTCTATTCAACAATAAGTTTGAATTTACTTTTTAAAATGATTACGAATCATAATGATCCACAAAATAAAACGCATTAATAAAAAAAACATTTGGATCTCAGTCATAATCAACAGGACTTTAATGCCAACAGAAAATATTAAATCACTGAGTGAAATTTTATACCACCATCGCATCATTGAATCAAAAGGTTTATCCATCATCCTTTGCTCTAATTAATTACCTGCATAAATAATGTAATTAACGGGGCCATTAATGCGCGTTTAATGTATTGCACGTTTGCGACCGCAATGCAGCTGCGGTGTTTTATGGAGCGGAGCGCGGTCGTTTGGTTATTTCGTGATCATTTGTGGTATTTATGCGACCAACTATAGAGGTACATTGATTTATGATAGACAAATTAGGGCTCTATGAGAGAGACGTTCTTTTCGGCTAGTTTTTGAAAGCGAGTAAAACGTCGACATAAACAAAATACGTGTTTGTCTATTCGTATACGAGCGAACCGCATGCGACGCGTAGTGTTTTATAAGCACGTAATACGCACAAACTTGCTACTATGTTCGTATAGCTATACGTAAACCGCCTGGCACGCGTGCCTATAGTTTTTGTAAGCTTCAACCACACCAACGCGTGCAGGTCGCCATCGCCAGCGCGATCATGGCGCGATCATAGGGAAATGACAGGTCGCGTGAACTGTCATGGGTCGCGCGACCTGTCATTGGGCTTTGATCGCGCCGGCGATGTAGCATAATACCCACAAGATGCGCATTTTGCTGCTATGTTTACTTATCGCGTAATCACGAATATACGCGCGTTCGACTTATTGAAACTTAAAATGTAGCGCGTACGCTCTTAGGCTAAAACGAACGTACTTAAATCGCACAAAATACGCTAATGTGAAAGAGCCCTTGAAAGATCAGCACGTGAGAACAAGCACGGGTAGGTACTTTACGCGGTACCTACTTCAGTTGGTTACATACTTTTGCCTCTTATTTAAGTTACGAACATACAAAAGTACCCACTTGTACATTTTGCGTGAGTTCTCACAGTAAAAAGAATAATTTTGTAGCTAATTATCATAAAAAGCTATTAAAATATTAATGAGTTACAGAGAAAATCGTCCATAATTTTATTCGAAAATTGTGTAATAAAGGCAAGCCTTTTCACAGTTCAAGTAAGTTATTAATCAGTAATAAATAATGTAAATAGCAAATATGATAGTAGCGTTAATAATTTTATATCTTAACATTATATAAAATTAATAATTATACAAATCACTAGAAAACACATATCATGGGCACCTTTCTTTCATTGTCGGTGTTATATTGGTTTTACTTGTATATAATGCAAATATGTATATTAGTTGTAAGTATGTTAAGAGTAGATAGAATTCAAAGAAATAATTTCTTGGATGGTAAACATTTGCTTGTTTTGTTACTTTACGACTAACAAAAACTGAAAAGTACGTTACAGAAACGGTTGTGTTTATATTAAACTTTAATAAACTAGTCACTTGATAGACCGCATTTATTTTTCGTTAATTACGACATAATGCAAGCAAGAGCGTGCGGTGCTTGTGAGAAAAATAAGTTAGGCAGTATCTAATATCAAATTTATTTGTAAGTACTTACTGCCTACCTTGAAATAAAACTAATAACAGCCTAATAATTTACTGGACACATTATCAATTGATGTAATATGAATATCTTTATAACAATGAGCTGTCATGAAAATGCATAATACTTAAGGCTGTAGAAATTTAAGTTGCGTAGCAACTGTATGTTTCCCAAAAATAAATAAATAAATAAATAAAAACTATGGACCTTATTAAGTTGGAAGAATGTATTTTATTCAAAATTAAAGTCTAAATTCAGGGACCCTAAATATTTTAATATAATAAATGTTGCTATGTGTCGTTAAATTTTATTTAAAATCGTTTTATTTCGAGTGCTCGGTCTGTTTTTAACGCAATGTAAGAAAGTATAGATACGCATAAAATGCAATAATTTAATATTATGTAGATAGCACGAAACTTACTTAAACTGGTATAAACTTGTATATATATAATTTTAGTGTGATAAACTATCAGTCTTATACTATTAATCATCTCGTATCGAACCTGTTTCATATCTTAACGCATCATATTTAATTTTCAGCAAATTGTTTTTATTTTGGTTTACTTATACATTACTGATGACAGTTAAAAGAAAAACATTCGTTATTTCAGTAGCTTTTCTGGTTAAATCAAGTCTCATAAAGGTTAAAATCAAAATTGTCCTTTCAGTAAGAAAAAGTAAAAACATACCTTAGAATTTTCTAAAACGGTCGCCACCTGGAACAAAATATTCGATTGTAAGTTCAATGAAGTGATAAAATGTTTCTAAACAGTGAATTTATCAAGTGTGGAACTTAGGCTAGATCTAAAACAAATAGTTCTGGCTAGTTCATCAGTCCATCGAGCAGAAAATGATCTAAAGCGCCTTCCAACACCGGGGTACCAGATGCAGGTTAGCGTATAATCTATACATTGATACATTAAAGAACACACACACTTGAAGAATTCACTGTGTTTAATGCGTATCAAAAGCAAAAGCGGACCACAATGAAATTATAAGATGTTGTACGTAATAAGAACATACTCGTATGTAACTTTCGGTTGACATAATTTTGCAAACCCAATTAACTCCGCTGTGACGGATACTCGAAAATAAGTAGCTTATTAATATTTTCCCTCGGCAACAGCAATTAACGTAATAAATGTTAATCCACAGCTAATGTTGTTGACTGTACCTACTCGCTATGTGAAGTACATTAATAACATATTCGTTTCTGCACCTTTCATCTCTTATGACTGCTATTGAAAATGAAAATGAGTATTTAGCAAACCGTTAAGCTGTCTGGAAATTACAGACATAATTTTATATCGTAAAAAGAGGTGGCATTCCTTCTTAAAGTGTAATCGGTGCGAACAAACAGTAACTGGACATATTCACAAAATAAACCAAATTGTGAAGTTAACCTAATATACATACTCGTACCTACCCTTCGATTTAGCTTAATCACAATATGCACAAATCTAAAAAAAACTTAAAAGGCGTTCGTGATAGGTATGTGTTATTTTCTGTACGGAATAACATTTTAGTATCGTAAACCTACCTCTTGTTTTTGATACAGTGATATTAGTTACTTAATATTATCATATCCATTTCAAATTTTCATATAACACAACATTAGAAACATCTAAAAACACTTTATGTGATAAAAATGGTCTTCTACCTTTCTTTTGATTTGCATAACTTTGTAAAAACAGTAATTAATTCATGTTAATTTTGTTACTTAATTAAAATAATTGGGTAAGTTTTACTGTAGAACTTCTCCTATTCCTTAATCTTTTTAGAAGTAATATTTTTCAGCATATCACAATAAAATCTGCCATCAGTGTTTGATCAGTCCCTCACACTTACCAAGCATTTGAATTAAGTAACAAAAACATTAAATTCTTGGTTTTACTGATGGTATACCAAAATAGGTATGATTACTTTTTTCAAAAAATACACTGTGTGAGTTTTGCTGACAGGATCACTACAATTATTAAAAAAAGAAAATAATATAATTATCAATAATTCTCAGTTACGTTTAAATAACTTACAAAAATAGGATGACAAACGAGCACAGTGTCTTATTTGAAAAATAAATTTTGCAACGTAGATAATAAGGCTTACACAGTAAATAAACAGGGGCTTTGATCTTATTGTATAGCGTTCTATATATACATATACAATTTTGAACGATACAAAAAAAAAAACAAATTATTTGAAATATTGTTCATTAAACATGTGAAACTTACAACTGCGTTTCATTTACCATTTAAAAAAGTACGTACCATTTAAAAATATGTTCCTGAACACTTGCAAAAATGTATACAATAAGTGCTTTTTAAGGTATTTCGTATTTGACCAGTGAACTCTGAAAACATAAAAGCATCCAGCGCGAAAACCGGCCAAGGCCGCGCTAGCAGAACTCACA